AGGCCACCCACTAAACTAAACCATGCCTTTGGGATCTAGTTCTAGAACGTGATCTGATCATCTGTAAAACAGGAGTGCATGCAAAAGGGTACCTTACATATGAGGAATTCAATTCACTTAAGAGCTATCACTAAGAGAAAATATATATATACACTTTAATAGCTGATAGCTCAATTTTGAAAATGAAATGTATTTTAATAAATACTGCCTTTATAATTATTCCAAGTGTGTTTATACATTTTTGGGGGGGACACTATATACATAAACATTATATATAACACTATATACATAACACTATATGTAGAGATATATAGCGATCTAGATAGATATAGATATATAGATGTAGATGTAGATGTAGATGTAGATATAGATATAGATATAGATATAGATATAGATATAGATATAGATATAGATATAGATAGATATTCTGGGGGGAGGGGAGCTTCTGCCTCTGGCGGAGAAGCTTGAAGTGACAGGAACCACAGGTTGCTGGTGTAGATAGTCCCATGCTTGGCTGCACTGAGGCTAGAGTTGAGAAAACAGGCATGCGCACCTCATGGTGAGAGAAATTTCTGGTTCAGTTTTAAGCTGCCACTCATATTTATTAAGTGGCTACCATGGAGAGGGAGTTATACAATGGCACTAATATTAATATTTAATGCTGTTTTGATTCAAATGTAATTTAAGGCACATTTATTATGCAAATAAAAACTTGCTGCTTAACTGGTTCAACCCCCTGCATAATGCCACAAGCTTGCAATTTTACAGCCTGCATTCGTCACATTTTCAGGATATAATTGCCTCCAAGGGATGAAATCTTGGAAGAAGTTTCCCTCAATGACATTGGGTTGGGGGGCAGCAGAAATTACTCTAGTCTGTCCTTTTGGTTGTGGATTGAAAAGAAAAACAACCCATTTCATCACTCCCAGGTCATGGTGTTAATGAGTACACAGCTTGGCAACTTCGATGCCATCAGGAAAGCTCCAGGGCCCATAAGAGAGGAGCTCAGATTAATACTTAAAAGGGGTAACATTTATTGGATATTGCCAGGCACTGTGCTAAGCAGTGACATGAATTCTCATTCTTAATCCTCACAACAAACCCTAAGAGGGTGGTGCGATTTTATGCCTGCCATGCAGATGGAGAAATTACAACTACCTGTGGTCACACCATGGCAAAGAAGGGCGCGGGGATTTGATGTCAAGCAGTTGCCCCTAAGATGTGGGTTGTAACCTCTCCTCCAGGCTGTCTTGCACATACCTGACTTTCTGGGCTACCTTCTCACCCTGGTTGACACCCATATTTTACATGTTGTTAAGAGGACGGGGACCCAATAAAGTGAGAGGTATCTGAGTGAGAAAAGACAAAGCCGTTGGTTGTGGCTTTATATGTGGCAGCGATGGCATGCTGGTGAGGAAAGGACCAGAGGAATGCAGACAGGTGTGAGATGATCGCCCTTAACTAAACTCTCAGAGTATAAAACGCAGTCAGAAGTTTCCTTAGGGATCAACTGTCTAACTCAGCCGTGGGCAAACTACGGCCTGCAGGCTGGATCCGGCCCGTTTGAAATGAATAAAACTAAAAAAAAAAAAAAAAAAGATCGTACCCTTTTATGCAATGATGTTTACTTTGAATTTATATTAGTTCACACAAACACTCCATCCATGCTTTTGTTCCGGCCCTCCGGTCCAGTTTAAGAACCCATTGTGGCCCTCGAGTCAAAAAGTTTGCCCATCCCTGGCTAACTCCTTCATTTTACAGAGAGGAAATAGAGTCTCAGGCAGTTGCCCATGATCACAGAGCAGATGTGGGACTCAAAACTAACTCTCTAACTCTCTCTCTCTCTCTCTCTCTCTCTCTCTCTAATTATTTTTGATCAAGTACAAAAGGATAGACAGTGAAAATTTTCCCCTTACACACTTTCCCCCATCTCAGCCATCTTATGCCCTGCCCAAAGACAAATATTCTATGCATGTCAAAAATAGGCTTCATTTTTACACAAAAATTATAGTGTTCCTTTCACTGGCAGAATCTTGCTTTTTTTTTAACTTAACTATGCAGGTTAGAGATTGCTCCATTATCAGAACATATAGAGCTGCCTCATTCTTTTTATTTTTAACTTTTTTAACAGCTCTATTGAGGTCAATTTATATAATATAAAATTCACGCATTGTTAAGTGTCAGTGTGATGAGTTTTTAAAAATTTATACACTTGTGAAGTCATTAACAAAATACAATTTTGAAATAATTTTAACACCTCCAAAGAGTTCCATTTTGCTCATTTTCAGTCAATCCCATTTCCACCCAATCCCCAGGCAACCACTAATCTTTCTCCATAATTTTGTGCTTTTTAAAATTACATATGGATGAAATAATTCAATATGTATTATATATCTGGCTCCTTAAGTAGTACTGTGTCTGCTTAGCATGATGTTTTTGAGATTTATCCACAGCTTGCATGTAACAGGAGTTTATTTTCATTGCTGAGGAGTATTCTGTTGTATAGACATACCACCCTTTGTTTATCCACCCACCAACTGTATGCTAACAAATGTTACATCTTTTGTTTCATTGAATAGGTAAAGAATGGCATCTCATCATTTTAATTTGCATTTTCTTATGAAGTAGGATGAGTGTCTTTATTGTTTACACATTTAAGAGTCAAGTATATTTCATTTTATGTGAAATGTGTGCTTCATGTCACTCTCCCATATTCTGTTCATAGTAAGTTCTTAATGATACATATTACAAATGCTTCCCCTAGTTTTTTGTCTGTCTTTTGACCTTATTTATTGAGTTTAGACCCCATAAGAGATTTTATTTTAATGTAATAAAATGTATAATAAATGCTAAGCCTGGGTTAAACTAGAAAGAATTCCCCTACCCCGAGATTAAAAAAAAAAATACATCTTCCATTTCTTTCTAGTATTTTTGTTTCTAACATTTTAAATTTTTGATCTGGAATTTATTTTAATTTAAGAAATAAGGATATAAGTTTATTTTCCCCCAAATAGCTACATAGGGGTCCTAACATCAATAAATATATAATTACTTTCCTCTCTGAAGTGCAATGATATATTTTATCATATATTAAATTTTCCATATACATTTGCGTTCACTGTTATGCCATATTTTTATGTGTCAACCAGAACATTCAAACCTCTATTCCCTGGATCAAGGTTTAGCCTTTTTTGCAGCCAGGAGGTAAGAACTCTCCATCCCTGGGGAACTTCATAGAGCCAGAGGTGCGTGACTGTGCCAGGATGTGACTCGGGTTCAGGAGAGCTGTGGATAATGTTGGAGGAGACGCCAACTTACTGGCTGCAATCTTTGATGGCCCCTGACGGTCAAGATGATGCCCAGAATAGTCCCTCCTTGCCCTTATCTCTTAAAATATCTGGTGGGGGACAGGATTCTTGATATACCTTGGAATTGCCATAGTCCTCACTCTGAGAGTCCAAGTTCTGGCAGCTCAGAAACCCTGTCTTTACGGATTAAGTATAGTGCTCCTTAGCACCTTAAAAGTGTCCAGTATACACAGGTTTTAGGATAATGCTGGAAGACCTCTCTTTGTCCATTTTTTTAAACTTGAAAAGTCTGTAGGGGTGGGGTGAGGAGAGGAAGTTCCACTAGGCTGTGGGAAAGAAAACTGTGTGAACTAGAGAAACAGCAAGAGACAAAGTGGCGTCGTGTCGTGGAGGGTGTTCCACCAAACAGCGCTGGAGGCCTGCAGCTTTTCCTCTCCTTTCACTTCCCGTGGACAAAGACCAGAGGGGCTCCGCGAAGGGGGAGATGCCACCATCTCCATCCAGGCAGAGGCCCCGTTGTGTCCAGGCTGAAGCAAACCAGAGGCGATTCCGGTCCTCTCCCTCACTGTCTTCCGGCCCTGCTTCCTCTCCCCACCCCTCCAACAATAGCCCCCTCTTGATTTCTGTTCCAAGAGAGAACGGTGAGTCCCCAGTGCAGAGGAAACTCGAAGGATTCTTTCCACAGGGTTTGCTAACTGGGGAGAGTGAGGTGTATGCTCTGGCATCTGCTCCTTGGTGTTGATGCTGGGGACCCGGCCCCCCCACTTCTCCCCGAGGACACAAGGCAGTAGCAGGGCTTCTTGTCCTCATTCTCCAGCAAAGGAGAAAGCTGGCAGAGTCTCTCTCTTTCCTGGAATGACTCTGAGCTACTCTCCCTTGCACCGTTGCTTCTAAATATTTTTTCAAACTGCTGAAAAAGCTGAACATCTTTTTGGGGTGATGTCCCTAAAATACTTGCCACTGCCCCTGCTGAGACTTTCTTACCCTGGGCCAATATTTTTGTGGACTAGACAGAGACCTGGGCCCCTCCCCAGACTCATTAGACCTGGGGAAAGGCCTAGGAATCCGCCGCAGGTGATTCTGAAGTTCGGTGCTCAGAACCCACTTGAAAAGCAGTATCCCAGACCTTTCCTCTCTGAGATTATCAGGGTCCCTCGGGATGGGGTTAACTTGCTGAGTGAGATCACAGAAATCATGCCTAATGCTGCCCAGAGCTGAAGAGACCCAAGACTTGTCCAGTAACACCGCTATCCGGGAGGGAGCGATGTTGTCTCAGACAAGGTCAAAGTTAACCTGGTAACTCTTTGGAACAGGGACCTACACTCCAAAATCAATCTGTGTACACGTCAGGGCACAGCCCTAAAGCAGTGCTGCTCAGACCTGAATCACATGGAGATCGCCCTAACATGCTGATTCTGATGCGGTAGGTCTGGGACGGAGCCTGAGAGTCTAACGAACTCCCAGGTAACGTCATGCTGTTGGTCCTTGGACTACTTTTGAGGAGCACTGCCTTAAGGGACACTTAATTTTAAAATATATATTAATTACAGATGACACCTTCTCCTTAACGAGCAACCGGCAAGCAAGCAAATCAATCTGGTGACCTCGAACACATCACTCGCTTGTAGTTTCTCTGTTAAGCAAGGCGGTTGCCTTTCTGCATCTCTACAATGGGGGTAAGAAAGCACCTACTTCTTAGAACGGGAGGATTAAGTGGAAGGATGTCTGTAGAGCTCTCGGCAGGCCCCAAACGTGATAGTGACTCCTCCATAAATGCTGCCATTGAGGGTGGTGGTGCTCGTCTGGTTATCTCATTCTCCCACTTACGACCAGCCACCATCAGAGAAGGAGGTTTAAGTGAGGCCTTAACGTAGCAAAGGAAAATAGGAGAATGGGTCAGAATTGCCTGTGTGCGCCCTGGTACCTGGCACTAAAGAGACAGGCTTTATCGATGTGAACAGAAAGAGAGCTTCTTTTGTTTCTACCACAAATAACAGAAACCTTAGACCCCCCCCCCCGCAAAGTTATTATTGTATTTATATTTATCACTTTAAATTTGCCAAATAAGTGCCTCCACCCAGGACCTGGTCATTTGGCTGTCTCCATGGCCTAATTACATAAAGGAAAGCACATTGTGCTCCACAAGGATGTCACACTTCCCTCCCTGAACTCACCCCCTCGTGTTTGTATAAACTCAGCCCAAGTGGCATCCCTTTACTTGGGTTTACAGCCCTGCCGAAAAAAACACGGAGCGCTGAGCATTTCCTACGAGGCTGAATCCTGGCTCACGGCTCTATTAGCCACGGGAAAAAAAATGACCATTCTGTCTCCCGTGCCAAAAACAATCTGCTCGCCCCTCATCTGCCCAGAAAACACATGAAAAATAAAATGCAACCAACAGCGTTTCATGTGTATCTGATAAATGTTTATCTCCAGGAGCAAGTGGGTGGCACCCTCCCCAAGCTGGCACAGATCTGCATGGAGCAGCCCATGCACAGAATGGTGGAACCAGCCAGAGTTCCAGTCATTGTAGAGGAGGGGTCAATATGGCAGGCTGGCGTGGCATTGTCCAGACCCCAGAAAACATCTGACTAACTTTTTCACTTATTAACTGCTGCATTTGTCAGTATATAAAGCAGTATATTGTACTCTACAGCCCACTTACTTATTAAGTCATCTATTCAACAAATATTTGTTGTGCATCTACTATATCTATATGCCATGTGTTGTTCTAGGCTCTGGGCATACAGGAGAACACATGAAGTCCTTGTCTTCATGATACTTGTTTTCTCGTGAGCTTACAGATGACACATAACTTTGGATGAAGATGTGTTCTTATTCTTTTCTCTAGAGGTCGTTCTTTCGTCTAGATGTCGCTGGCATTTGGCTAGCTGTTTCTGAAAGTGTACATCAAAATATGTGTTGCCTCTCTGTTCCTGTCAGATGGAGACCTGTGTCTGTTGGCGGTTTACTTTATTGGCCGTATAAACATAGGAGGAAAAATATCAAGTGATTTAGGCAGAAATAAAATCAGGAAAATCAAAACAACTTTTTTTTCTATAAGCTACAGATTTTTCTTATAATTAAAACAGATTCAACATGACTTCTGAGTGTTGTTTTTGTAAACACTATAATCAATTTGCCTTTCCAAAGCAGAGACAAAGTAAAACCAAAAGAAACTCTACCAATATTTTTTAAATAATGAATAGGAAAATGTAGTATCTGTGTTATCCCTGATCACCGAAAGAAGGCATGCTCACTATAAGATATAAATAATACAGAAATGCATAAATCAAAAAAAGCCATGCATACAGAACCACAATATCGATAGATCTCAGTACTTGCTTTTTTACAATTTATATATGTCTGGCTAAAGAGTATTGATCAGTCTCATCAGATTGCTTGACTGACTAGCACATTCCTTACTTTATACGATTTCTAGAATAACTATTGATATATTTAAAACTAATTTCTAGAGAGAACATCCAAAACAGAATAGTAATTCCACTTAAAAACATGGGTCTTAAAACATATGCTTTTATTTATCGTCAGTGCAACCCTGAAGAAGACAGCAAGACACTGACCATCCGTTTGAGAGAATCGCAGGATGTCAGCGTCAGAATCTCATAAATCTTCTAGTGCAGGGGGCAGGAGAGAAGGGTGTAAACAAGCCCGAAGGTGAGCTCTGGTTCAGTCACACACACACACACACACACACACACACACACACACACACACACCACCTTAGGAATCACTGGTTTGGTCCAATCCCATCGTTTCATAGGCGAGAAAACTGAGGTCCAAGCAAGTTAAGAAACCTGTCAAGTCTCCCACACAGGAGGTGGCAGAACAGAACTGAAACATCCGACTCCATCTGGCCTTTGTCTTCTGCACTGAGCTGCGGTGGAAGACACCTTCTGCTAGAACAGTGGTTCTCAACCTTCCTAATGCCGCGACCCTTTAATACAGTTCCTCATGTTGTGGTGACCCCTAACCATAAAATTATTTTCGTTGCTACTTCATAACTGTAATTTTGCTACTGTTATATATCGTAATGTAAATATCTGATATGCTATATGTGTTTTCTGATGGTCTTAGGTAACCCCTGTGAAAGGGTCGTTCGACCCCCAAAGAGGTCGCCACCCACAGGTTGAGAACCGCTGTGCTAGAGCAACCCAGCTTCCATTTGCTCTCTGAAGGTTAAGTTGTCCACACAAATCTCTATTGTATCAGAGCCTCTAATTCTAACTAAAGAACCTCAGGGGTTTGGGTTATTGGTGGTCGATTTGGGTGGGTATTGCAGTTGTATGCTTTGCTTTTGGAAAGTGGAGAGGGAAGTTGAACTAAGATCTAAGTTAAAGAATCATTATTACTTGACAAACTAACCAGCATGTTTGATTTAAAGTTTAGAGTGAGAGAAAAATAGCAGCTGGATAACCCCCCAAACAAACACACACAATGGTGACACCTGTGTTTTGTTTATGGGTGTGAAGGTAAGTGGCTCAATACTAAAATGTTTGAGGCAGGATCTCTGAGGGCGCTGAACCCTTGGTGGGTGAGGCAACATGTTACTTCAAGTCCTTTTCTCTCTAGTTGGCATGGAACTGCCACGATGGTCTCCAACAAAAGTGTTTGCAACCCTCCCCGGCCAGGTCACCAATGACACAGAGCTCGAGAGCTTGGGAAGTGGGTGAAAGGGAGAATGAAAGGTCTACAGCATGACTGCAGTCTCTTCCAACATTCATCTGAATTGAAAACTTTTATTCCAAGACAAACTTTCCCCTGCACAAGCTCTGCTGAACACAGATGGCGTTTTAATGAGGCTAAATCTGGCATTTCCGCCATTATCAAAGGAAACATCAAAACATTTGCCTCTACCTTCCTTTATTTTACAAGAATTTGGGGTTCAGGATAATAATCTTCACTCAATGTGTGCCCAACTTGAAACCTCTGAGGAATAATTTTTGTTCTGATAGACCCTTGGTATAGTATTGATCAAGAAGTATGACACAAATTACAATAGGTGTATTCTATTCCTACATTAAAAAAATACAGTGCCCTTAAGTAATAACACGACTCTTAAAAAGTTACAACTGACATTGACTCCCACTACTTGCCACACATTGTGAAATGCGATGCACAAATAATCTTACTTAATCTTCACAAGAAGTCTATTATGTTGACGCAATTTTACATTTGGGAAAACTGAGGCTTAAAGGGGTTAGTAATCACCTGGAATAAGGCCCACAGTCAGTAAGTCACAAAACTGGAATTCACACCCCAATTTGTGTTACAACAAAGCCCATGCTTTAGTTGCTCTGAGCCACATCCCAGCGCACAGACCTACAGGACACAGCCTAACATCACATTTATGCGACATATTTATAATTTAATTAGAGTATGTGTACAGTTTGGGCACCAATTAATTAATAACATGTTCTGTGTGTCAAATTCTGGACCATTCCGGGCTGGAGTTCCCCTGATGATATCACAAAAGAGCCTCTGATGACCCCAGAGAAGAATCACACACTGGAAGTTTCCACAAATGCCGGCTCACTCCTTGGAATGGAGTGAACACAGATGGGCACTAACCAGACTAAACTAGTCAATGGCTTTTTCTCTGTCAGTAGCTGAATTTGTTTGCCCCATCAAATATTCTCATGGCAAATGACTTAACAAAACGGAAATGTTGAATATATTTTCTTCTTTAAGAGAAAAGAAGATCTCCCGAGCTCTATAACCTCGGGCCGCAGTGAAGACCCGTGCTAGAAGGGGGGCTGTTGGGGGTGCCAGTGGCATATCACCTTTTGCCTTCCTCGTCTTTAGTCAATGCAACTCTGCTGTCACTTTTTAAAAATAGTGTGTTGCATTTTATGTGTTTATCCAGTAACCCAAACTGGAGAGCATTCTGTGATGTTGTTTTAATTGGGCACAAAATTAAATACATTATCAAGGAAAAGCGAAACTGAAAGAAGCAAGTCAAGATCGCAGCCCTGAGTTTTCCACTGGGATCTCAATTGCTGATAAAAGATGCAAAGTGCCCAATCCAATCCGTTCCTGCTACCTTCTGACCAGAAGATCTATGAAATGGGAGCCTAGGGTAGGTGGTAGGGGAGCTGGAAACCACTTCCAACTGTGAGTAGAATGATTCTGCATCCTCAAGCAGGCACTCACTCATCACGTCTCTTTTACATTGCTCATTTTATAGTGCTCCTAAGGAAAGTCTCTTAAAGAAAGGAGAAGAAAAAAAAGTCTGCTAGTGGAACAAGACCTACATAACAATCCAGTTCATTCATATTTTTTCACTCTTATTAAGAGGATGGCTCTTGAATAAAGATTTTGAGTAAAGTTTTTTTAAAAAAATATATTTTATTGATTTTTTACAGAGAGGAAGGGAGAGGGATAGTTAGAAACATCGATCAGCTGCCTCCTGCACACTCCCCATTGGGGATGTGCCGAAAACCAAGGTACATACCCTTGACTAGAATCGAACCCGGGACCCTTGAGTCCGCAGGCCGATGCTCTATCCACTGAGCCAAAGTGGTTAGGGCTTAAGTAAAGTTTAGAATAAAGATTAATTACTTGATTGTGGTTAATGTATAGTCTGGCCAAATTAATTTATAAATGAGAGACTGGCTATTTTTATTACACTCTTCACATCCCAGGTGACTTCAACCAGTAAATTTCATGGAATTTTGTCTGCATGGTTTTTGTCTTTCAACTATTCAACAACTCTGAAGTAAATGATTAATATTAGTAAATTTACACAGCCTTTCCGAGGGACCTTGCTGGCCTATTTTTGACAATGTGATCTTGCTTCCCTCCTGGCTTTTACCATGATGAGTTCTTGGTAACATTATCCTCTCTGACAAACTTAATTAAAACAATCTAGACTTTAAAAAACAAGGTATATGTTTTTAAGCTTGACTGGCTTTCTATGTCGTCCTATTGGGAGTTTGGAAAACCAGGCTCTGGGTGACTATGTCTCAGTTACATCTATAGCTTAGCTCTTCACTGCTACTGACACAAGCGATCAATCTCGGTCCTCCCATCCCAGTTACCTGGTGTTTTCCAAAACTACAGCCACATGCCCCCACCTCTTTGTCTCCTTTTGTGTGGCAGATGACCTCTTCCACTGACGGTGGACAATCAATTTACACCCATCCCGCATGTGGAGCCCGAATACAGAAGCATCCCACACACTGTGCAATTCAAGTGGCATCCCCTTCTTTTTTCCCTCCTACCTCGGTGATGCAGAATAACAGTCATAAATTAGCATTTCTCTTCTGGAGGGTGCTGAGTAGAAAGAAAAGAACAAGAGGAGGGCACCTCAACCTAGACAACGGGTCACAGAAGCCCCAGAGCAAACCACAATTCTTAGCAGACAGCATGGTGAAGTTCCCAACGCAGAGCACCGAGGAGCAGCTGAATTCTCCAATGGGCCACTTCGCACGTTCCAGTGGCTCCTGGTTAATCCAGCCACGTTACCTATGCCCACATTCAGATTTAACACACTGTCCTGCTGAGCCCCAATACACTTCTCTTTCCAGTTCTGCCAGCCTCCTCTCTGCAATGCAACAGTTTTCTCTTTTTTAAAAAAAAATGTATACATATATAAGTTTAAATCCTGGGCCATCCATCAGTTGTCCCCTTGATTACGGATCACACCCAGTAAGGTATTTTCTGGGGAGACGTCCACGGCAGTGCCATCCCAGGGGCGCTGAAATGGAAGCAGAAACGGTTGCATGGGTAACTTACCAGCTCCTGAGTCTGAGTGGCTGCAGCAGCCCCCGGGCTTTACCTGGTCCCCTGCTCTCTCTGTGCCTCTCCCTCTCTCCCTCTTTTTCTCGTGTGCAGACTGCAGGGAACTTAAAGAACTCGCAGGGACAGTGTTTCGAATGACTTAAGAAAGAGAACAGGAACAATACTTCGTTCTCTTTTTCTCAGATGAGTACCTTCGGGAAGAAGGAAGGAAGGGAGGGGAGAGGGAGGAAGTCAACAACCCTTTGCTTTCCTGAAAAAAAATAAGGAAACAGAAGATAGACATCTCATTTTCTCTTAAACAAAATGTTGGAAGGGGCAAAAAAAAAGAAGGAAAAAAAAAAAGCCTTTGAAAAAAGGAATTCTTCAAAAATGCTCTGGGCCCTGGGAGCTTGAAAGAGATGAAAAGCCTCACAGGCCTGGCCTGTCCAAACAAAGGGGGTTCCAGAAGGAGGCTCTCCTGAGCTTGCCGGTCTGGTGTCTGGTTTGCAGAACTGACACAGCCAAAGAGGAACAAATCATCCCTCGGCGACTTGGAGCAAAGGAGAGCTGTGTCTCCTGTGCTAACTGAGGCAGACCTGCAGCCTGGAAGAGCCGGGCGACCCGTCAGCCACACGGCCGGCCCTTCCCAGGCCCTTGCAAACACCAGAGCTGCTGCAAACCGCAGCTGACTCGGACCCACAGCGTTCCCCCCCGGGGACCGAAGAGCACAGTCTGCACCTCACTGAGCTTCATGCCCTGGGCCAAGCCAGGCTTCCATCTCTGCTGATAGTTAAAAAAACAAAACAACAACAACAACAAAACATTTAAAAAGCAACTTACCACACGGGTGCTGGACATAGTTTTCTCAGAAGCGTTGTTTATGTTGCCCTAGCCTTGACATTCTTAATGCTTCTTGGATTCACAACATACTCTGAAGCAGCCTAGGCCTTAGCCCCGCCAGCCTCAGGGATGGGGAGGCTGGACAGGAGGAGAGAGAAAATGGAGGGAACATCCTTTACCAAGTTAGGGGCACTTGGGAGTTCAGGGGGCAGGCATGAGCTCCGACCAGGGTTAGGCGCGTAGGAATGAGCTTGGCTTAAAATTCTCTGACTTGTGCTGGGTGTCTTGTGCCCTTCATTCATTTGCTCAAGACCATTTTCACCGCCAACAGGAACCAGCAGTTATGTGCACCTCTGTGGCAGCAAAAGAAAAACCAGCTTTAAGGTAGTTCCCTATTTCTACCTTAGTTGTGAAAAAAGGGGGTGGAGAGTTACACCTGATCACAAAATGCAATTAAAGTAATAGCAGGGAGAGAGGGACTCTGATTCAGTCTCTCTGTGGGACTTTTATTGGGTCCCATGGTCTTATAAGATTATTCTTTTATCGCAACAGTTTACTCCCCCCATTAATTATATTCATCTATCTATCTATCTATCTATCTATCTCATCTCTCTATCTATGTGCTGATTTAGTCTATGTATCAGAGAGAACAGAAAGATATTGTGATTCAGTAGGTTAGTAAGAGCCAGGATAGAGTCTTATTCTTTGCATTCCCCATGGCACCTATACTGGCACAACACATGGGTTTCTGGCGTGGCTGACCCAACCCCAACTGCTGATGAGAAAGCTGACGCCCCGAGAAGAGTCTGTAAGGTTTGCCCAAGGTCACACAAACAGGGACAAAAACCAGAATGCTCCTCTGTCTCCGGGTGCAGCTCAGCGCTCTTTGCCCTCTGCTGGCCTTTCTCTATATCCTGCCTCTGTAGACATGGAAGGAAAATGAAAATGAAAACCCAAGAAAGCAAGAGAAGAGCATGAGAGAATGGAGCGAACTGGGGAAGGGACCGCGAGGAAGCCTTTTTAAAGGAGTAGCCATACTGGGACAACCCGTGGAGTAACTGTGAGGTCAGAGAAGCAAATTCAGGTGAAGGCTGAAATGTAGCATAAAACGTGGAAGTAGGTGGAGTAAGGGAGAGGGAGGGAGAAGCAGAGAAAGGCTGCTCTGGGTGCTGTGGCAGCACCAGCAGCGACAACGAGGGGATGTGAGGAACAAAGATGCTCGGGGTACAAAATCCTTGCAGGACAGAAAAGTCCCTGGTCACCTGAAAAATCGCTGACAGCAGCGCGCAGCCCCTTCCATGTTTTCATTCTTCCTGCAGCCTCAGGGCCAGCCAGGCTGAGTCCCAGGAGCCCGGGCAGAGTCCAGAGGATTCCCTTTTACTTCTGTAGAATGTGGGGGCTGTCACGCTGAGGCATGTTGTTTTCTCGCAGCCAGCTGACCGCCCAAAGGAGGCCGGCACGGGGCCTGTGCCATCTGGGCTGCGCAGCTTCGATGTCACGGAGTGGCGTCCGGTTGGGGCCTGGGGACATCACCTCTGCACACACTGGAAGGCGACGTCTCATGTTTTCAAAATACCGCTGGGAAGCAGCTCGGGTCTCAGACATTCAGCCACAGTTTTTCCAAAGGGAGCCTCGGCCCTGCCTGTGGCAAGCTGTTCCCTTCATACATCCAGTCAACCGGTTTCTCCCTCCTTCCTGTTCTGCCATCACATGAACAGTCAGCGCCTCATACTTGTCAGCTCACCCACTGGGCGTCCAGAAGCTAAAACTCCTCCCTGGGTTTCACAGGAGAGGTTTCCATCAGGCTACTCCAGCTGGGCGCTTCCTCCGCAGCTACCTCATGGGCATGGATGCAGACAACGGAGGACACCATGGATAGAAACAGAATATGGCTGCCCCTCTGACCCAGCAGGGAAGCCACACATTGCATTGGGTATTAGAGATCATTTGAGTGGAGAAAGGGAGCTGCAAGACCCTGGGCCTGGATCGGGGACAGGAGAAACACCCAGGTGTAAAATTCGGTGTGACTAACGCAATGGCCCGACTCAGAACCACAGAAACACAAGCTCTACTCAACATGGCTCCCCGCTTCCGAAGCATCCTAATTGGTACCGGTCCAGCTTCTGACTAACCAGAACTCTACCTGTCCACCCGGGACTAAATTGACCCTGACCGTGGCAGGTGGTGGAGCGAGGGTGGATTGAAATATAACATCTGTTCTGAACAGTGTACATGTCAGTGACCTGTCACAAAATGGCCATGTCTGTGTAACAGAAACAGAACAGAATATCCCCTGCAGCCCTCTAGCCACTACCTCCCCTCGGGGTCACAGGATCCTAACTCCTACACCTGACCTAGATGTGGATTGCCTAGTATTAAATTCACATACAAATGACATCGGACTGTACTTTGAGTTCCGGGTCTCTGCCTCGGTGTTATATTTGTGAGAGTCACCCCTCTTGTTGAGTGTAGTGGGAGTACATTCACTCCTGTGGCTGGAAAATACTGCATTTTGTGGCAATATCACAGTTTATGCATCTGCTCTTCTGAAGATGGGCATTTGGGTTGTTTCCAGTTCAAGGCTGTTTCTAATGGGCTGCCAGGAATATTCCTGTTCCTGCCAGACGTCTTTTTTAAGTCTGATACAGGGCTCACCTCTCTCCGGGAAGATGCCCACTCCAGTGATTCAGACCTTTTGTTTGATTTCCTTGGGCACATATTTCCTCTCACATTGATGCGTGGCATACATGGATTTTTTTTTTTTTAATTCAAATGGCTTTGGTTTGAGGACATGGCGATGTCGGCAGAGTTGCTGTGGAGCTTTGGAAGGAGTTGGGAGCCACTGCTCTCACCTCTGGCTGCAACCTGGAGATGCTGCTTCGAGTCACCCTCCACCGACTCTCCAGCTCCCTCCCGATTCTGGGGGCAGGGGTTCTCCCCCTCCTCTAGGCTTCCCACGGACAGGCTAAGTTTCATTACATTAATGTGCAGAGAAGATGGCCAAGTCTCAGGCCTGAAACTGCTTTGACGTTTCCTTTGTTCCTTTGATTTATTCTCTTCACTTTGCCAAACCCCAATATTTTCCAAGTCCCAACCCTCAAAACGTGAGAACATTCATTTCTTTCTTCCTTTGTAGCTTTTTTTTTAGCATGAAAAGATGATATGAAGAATTTACTTAGACAAGTTGTTGAAGAAAGTCTGTTTTATGCATCTAATTTCCTCATTTGGCAAGTGGGGATAACATAACATCTATTTTTCACAGTATTAGGAGTAAAGAGTAAGAAGAATAGCTAACATTTCACTACTTACCATGGGCCAGGCACTGTACTGAACACTCTACATGTCATACCTTCTTTAATCATCACAACGGCCCTACGAAGCAGCTGTGATTACTGTCCTTTACCTCCCCTTCTTTATAGATGAGGAAACTGAGCATGAAGAAGCTATAATATTTCCACAATACCATAAAATTTAGTAAAATTTCAAACCCACTGTATTCTGGCTTGGAGCCCTAATTTTTAACAGTGAAGCTAATTTGCTCTGCCCTCTAAACAAACACTGCCTGTCACACAGTAAAAACTCAACAAATTGTCCTTCAAATTGAAGAACAACATCTTCTATAAAACAGAAGAGAAAAATGTATGGCACAGAGGCTCATTCTGCAACCATTCAGTGCACACGTCTACTGGGCCAGAAAGCCCTATGCTAGGTGTGGTTAACGTGCTTCTGGATTTGATTGCCAGGTAGTGGAGAGACACACTAAACAAATCACACCTGGATATCTAAGCAATGTGGCCAGTGCTCTGAAGAGGAAATCTGGGAGTTGAGAAAGCTTATAGTCAGGTACAGGATCTGGACAAACGATCAGAAAATATCTTTCTAAGTAAAGGACATGCAAACTGGAACCTGAAGAATGAGTAGGCATGCTCCAGGCAACAAAGGGGAGGCAGCAGTTTACACAAGGGGCAGCCTGGTGAGTCCAAGTTCAGATTCTGAACTTGATCTTAAGATGCATGAGAAATCATTAAATATTTTACACATGAATAGGATATGATCAGATATGTATTTCAAAAAGCCGATTTTGATCATTATGTAAAAAATGTATTGTGGAAGGCAAGAGTAGAATCAGATGAAGAGTTATAAAGTCTAGTCTAAGTTTGATCATGCCAGTAATGACTCTTGGGAGATGCAGGTGGACATGTTAGTTGCCTAGAGAGATCATGGGATGATACAGTTTGCGAGCTATGCGGATATGTGGTACGACAAGAATCTGATGAAGAATGAACATAGGCAGTGCCTCGTACACAAACAGCTAGCTTATGAAAGTTCATACTTTTGAATGGCAA